CCCCAAAACCCCAAAACCCCAAAACCCCAAAACCCCAAAACCCCAAAACCCCATTCCTGGTTTCGAAGTTGAAATGTAAGTAACATTTGGTTAAATTAATTTCTTGTTCTGCCAGCTTGTCTTGTCTGGACATTCCTTTTTCTAAGCATTTCTTTTGCATTTTTACACACTTTAGGACGGCTTTTAAACTGACGGGCCAGCTTTGAGTTGATGGAGGCTTTTCTAGGCTCTTGGGAGCCAGGGGTCTTCTTGTGGTTGAGGTTTTTGAATTTTGGATTTTTGGTACGAGTGAGTTTAGTTTCGCTTGGGTTATTGGCAGTCATTTTGATAGCCTTGTTTATGAGGTCGTGGTACTTGTTGAGGTTTAGTGATGGAAGCTGCTGAGTGGGTTCTTGTTATGCCTTGAGACCGGCTTTGGACGACGCAAAATCACCTTTTCAGTCACCGTCCCTGGACTGGTACTCCTGTACCCTCCAATCGAGGTCTTTACCCTAGGAAAAGCTTCATTGGCATCAGATTTAGCAAAGAGTAACAAATCTTGATTCTTTGCTGCTTGGAAGAACTCTGTCGGTTGTGAACTCGCCTTCGCTCTAGAGTTTGGTTAAGGAGATCCTTACAGATTTGAATTGAACATGAAATTTCCTCCGTTAGCAGGAGCATAATCAGGAGAGTTGTTTTCAAGGATCTTGACTTGGAAGAAATCCTTCAGAATTTTAAAATTCCTCTGTGGTTCATACGGACTAGGTCTGTCTCTTGTAATTGGTCTTTTAAAAAACAGCACTTTTTCGTACTTTGGGCTCTCCAGATTGAGGTTGGGCTCTAGCTTGGTTACTTTGTTTGGACAATTCTCCAAACGCTGTGTCTTTGGAGGGTGAGCATTTACAGGCGAAATAGAGCCTACTTGGTACCCATGAGGATTTGTTGGTGCATCCTCAACAGTTTCGTTTCTCAGGTCTGTGATTTGAGGATGTTTTGAAAGCCTATAGAATATTAGTCCCTTTCCAAGGTAATTTTATGCCAAAAATGGTATATTTCAGAAATAAAATGAATCACTTATGCAAGCACCATGGACTTGTAAACTAAATGAGAAGATTATTACCCTGCGATATTGCCTTTCTTAATTCTGTTCCTTTTTAGACTAGGTTTGGAAGCCTTTCTGGTCTTGATCTTCTTCAGTTTGATGTTAAGCCTTGCTATAAGTACTGGATTAGCTTGTGGAAATTTATGGTAAAATAGGGGTTTAAGGTGATGAAGAATTCATGTATCATATAACTTGAACTACAAGCCGAAATCTAGGTGCTGCTCAATGATTAAATACAAAATTTGCTCTGGGAACACTCCAAAGTTGGCTCTGTATTTTATAACAATAGGCTTTTGACTTATTTCAGAGTTGATAAAGTTTATAACCTATAGTTGATATAGAACTCCGGGTGAAAATGTGAGCTTTGCATGAATTATTCAAAACTGTGATTTTTAGTCTCCAAGATTTATAAACTTTAGACTTAGAGATTTAGATGAGCCCAGCGCTCCTTGGAAGTTCTTGCAAATTCTAAGATCTATTCAGAAAGTACCTTTACGAAAGTGCTCTTTTGGGACTTTAGTACTTATATTAATAATTTTAGCTGATTTGGTATGCTTCAGCCCGGAAGCAGGTTTGCGGTCACTAATTAACTGGGGAGAACTAGATCCAGAGGAATGTCTCATGTTGTTCGCATTGAGGATAGGGCTCTCCACTCTAGTACCCTGGTCTTCACCCACTGATGGATTTTGGTATGAATCTTTGTTCTGGGATGTCCTCTCAGCGCTGATGTTCAGAGTGCAGGAGTACTTTTTCTCCTCCATAAATTCGTTCGAGGAGCTATTCTTAATTCCTGAGTTGATTTGTAGAATTTCTCTTCTGAGTCGGATGTGCCTTCATCGAAGGAGTGCCTACCATCAAAATTAAAAACGGTTAAATTGTAATTTTGAGAGCATTCAAGCTTTTCTGTTGGCTAATATCTTTGGAACCTCACTTATGTAGCAATAAAATAAGGAATATTTAAACAGTAATACCACGTATAGCCAGAACTGGGATTTTCCTGTGTGGTTAACACCTGAACCACAGCTATCAGCAGCTCATGAGGGATTTACACAAGTTAAAAATTCTAGAAAATTTATCAAATCCCTATTATTAGCCTAAAAGCTGGGTCTCTGGCTGGGCAGGATCGAAATCTTAATGAATTTATGAAAAATTCAGTTAGGAGAGAAAAGAGTTTTAGTGGAATCGTAAGGATGTGGCTTGGGCTAAACAAAGCTGAATAGGAGAGACTCAATAGAGGAATAGTAGCATGAGGGTGGATTCTTAAAGTATGAAAATAATCTAGCTGTACATGTTAAGAGATTTTATTGCTAGTTGATGCAACCAGGCTATTGTGATTAAGTTGTTAAGGGGGCTAGTGCTGGGGATATTGGGAAGAGCCGGTGTTTGAGTGCCAGAGAGTTGGAAGGGTGAGGAGAAGGTGTGCTTACTGCATTCTTTGGGGATAGAGGAGGAGGACCTTTTCAATACACCTATCTTGATAAGCCTGTTATTTCTCTTTGAAATGTTTCCTTTTATTCTTCTTTGATTTCATATATACTGGATCTTCAGCTTTGGGACGAGTAAAGGACTCGAATAGGTCAAGCAGGGGTGGGTGAGAAGTGTAAGTCTCTTTAGCCCTAGGAAGGGTGATCATGTTATTTATTTAAAACAATATTAATTATATATCAATTTCTCTACAAAAACTTGGGGTTTTGGGGTTTTGGGGTTTTGGGGTTTTGGGG